GATGCTTCATTTTTTCGTTACATTCATTTATTCTTATCCTAAATTTACCAGGATTACTTTCACAATCTTCTTGCATGATATCAGTTTCATATGTGAAGTTACGTGCTTAGATAAGATCGCCAAGAGTGCCTGTTCCTTTGTTTTATGTTTAGGTGAGTGTTTTGAACTGACACTTTTCACTAGAATTCTCTCATTGTTAGTATTTTTTGTGTGAGTGAGAAAACGGAAAATCATCTGACGATGAGTAAAGTGATATGGAATTATGGTAGTAAAATGTAATGAATGATGAAAACGATCATGAATTTAGGTTCTTTTTGATGTGCTATTTGGGAGTGAACACGGCGTGTGCACTGCAGAGTATCTTGAAGGCACCTGGATGGAGGCCGTCCTTCCGATACTTCCATTGGTCACTATCACTGTTCGGTTCAATCCTTTGTGTTGCTGTGATGTTCATTTCTGCATGGCATTTCGCTCTTGTTGCCATTTTTATTGGTGCTGCTGTATATAAAGTATTGTTTTGGCTTTTTTTAGATATTATTATAGTTTGTTGTTTCCATTATTTGCAATGTTTTGTTGCGTTTTCTTTTTGAGTTAGCATAAGATAATTTGGGTTTCTGATAGAAGGGTGTGCATAGGTATACGTTGATTGCGTTGTTAGATGGAGAACAGTAAACATTCAAACTGAGTGAACATGTTTGCCGTTATATGACCATAATCGTAGCGAAAAACAAACGCAATTAAACCATCATGTTTATGCATCATGATCAGTGGATATGTTTTATGAATCAGTTGTTATCAGTAGTCGCGTGAAAACAACCAACGATTGATAGATTCAAACGAATGCTTTCAGTACATCGAATATGCAGGTGCCGAAAAGGAATGGGGTGATGGACTGCGTGGTCTTGGCCTATCAGCCGCACGTTTCGCTTTGCTTAGTATCGATCCTAAACCTCAACATTCGAGGGTATTTTCCATCTCTCATTCTGCTACTTTCATTGGAATTAAATCAAAAAAATGTGTTCTGTTGCTTCATTATATAACATCATTTTACCACCTATATGGTCTTGCAAACCATTTTTTAAGTTCTAAGAAATGGGGCAATTCTCAGAGCTCATAGCAATCTTCTTGTTTCAGTGATAATTTTTGCGTATGTCCCGAAAATTCCTCTCATGAGCATAATTCCTCAAATAATATCCCCATAGCGAGTAATTTACTCCATTGCACAGTTAACCACGTGGTTGTGGTATTGCTCTCATGTCAATTTTATGACTTAATCATTCATGAACGCTCGCCAATGAACAGAAAGCTGTACTCAAAATAATTTTAGAATTGGCGACCACAACTTTTAGTGCTGAGCCCGGATGATGCGAACAGTGAAGAGGGTTTATTATCGTTCGTTTCACAGCTCAAAGCTGGTAAAGGACTAACGTTAGTGGCGAGATGTGTTGAAGGAAATTTCGTCAATCAACCAGAATTAGCTGAAAATAATAAGGCGGTAAGAACCTGTACTGGATCGTTCACTTGCGTCCATTTAATTCTGTCGCCAGCAATCTTTTGAGATCCGCATTTGATTTTCGAATGTGGACAGTTTTCATATTCCATGTCAGGGTAGCGAACACTTTGCGTGATTAATATACCATTGTGATATAGAAGTATGAATGTACAGTGTGNTTATGTTCGATTGTCAGTTGCAATGATTTTAATTCAAAAATTGTCCAAAGCGAATTATTTCAGTTGTCTGTTCCTGCAAACACTTCATTCAGTTTTAAGAAAAAAGGGCAATCCTCAAACCCCAAAACAGTTTCCTTAAACAATTTTTGGCTCACTTTGAGAATTGCTTAACTTCAGGAATTAACCGCATTGGTGAAGAAGCATAAAATAAGAGGATTCTGTGATGTGTTGGTGACGGAGAATCTCGATGAAGGCATATCGTGTCTTGTTCAGGTGAGTATTGCTTTGAAGCATATTTCAGCGCTTTTTTGAATCTCGTTTGGTTATATTTTTGAACAGTTGAATGAATTTCAAGTAAAACAATTACAATGTCGGAGGTAACTATGAAATCTGCACATAATTGACCAGCTTTGTTTCCGATACTTTCACTCATGATATATTCCATCGATTTTGCTTTTATCGAAGGCAACAAATCAGTTTCGATTCCGAAAGCCCATTCAACGCATGTTCACTGCTTCGCAATTTATTCTGCACGAACATGTCGAAAGAATTGATAATTCGAAGTTTTTGTTAATATTTGTGCAATTTCAGACATCAGGTTTGGGTGCACTATGTCATAACACAGTGATATTGGCGTGGCCAGATCACTGGACTGAATCGCACGATCAGCATGTTTGTAAGCGTTTCGTGCAGACCATTCGTGCCGTTGCGTCTGCGGATTGTGCCATTTTGGTGCCCAAAAATGTTGCAGCCTTTCCGTCGTCATCCACCAAAGTTCGCTTACTTCATTCGCTATTGTAATTTAAAACGAAACTTTTGTAAATTGANAGAGTTAATTGTTCAGTATGAATGATCATTTTTGCTGCATTCAATAAAATCGCCTTTTGTTTAAATTCAACAATGATCGTTGACTGCGCAAGCAAGACGATGTTTAATGATGGGTGGCGATTATTGTAATAATACGTCAAAATCATTTCAAGATGCACGGTTTTCTGGACGTATGGTGGATAGTGCATGATGGTGGTCTTTTGATGTTGTTACCGTTCTTGTTACGGCAGAACCGAACGTGGAAGAATACAAAATTACGTTTGTTCACGATCGCACAAGTTGACGACAACAGCGTTAATATGAAGAAAGATCTCGAAATATTCCTTTATCATCTTCGTATTGAAGCACAAGTTTTTGTCATTGAACTGGTTTGTTTTTTCATTGTAACAGAGATATTGAATGTTTGAAAAATTTTATCAATTAAACACTTATTTCGGTTTTTTTTTGTCTTATGCACATGACTCATTTGTCGAAAACTTCTTTCGCGCAATACGAAAAAACAACCTATTTTTTGAGTGTATAATTCCCATTCAAATGGATTCTCTTTGCTCAATTGTTCGAACTCAAACGTTGACCAGCAAACGAAATCAGTAAACAGTAATGATATGACATTTTCCTTTTTATCACTGATAGGGTCTATAAATACTCGGTGGCCTTATTGTCTGAAAGGTGTGTATTTCAGCCAGATTCAGACATCTCTGAATACACATATGAGAGGACGATGCGAATGGAAGAGCGTGTCAAGTTATTGAAAGAAATGCAAGTTGGTGAGCGTAAACTGGACGTTCAAACGGCAGTTGTTGAAGCTGCCAGGGAACGAAAATCGTCGAGAGTTACTGAAGAAGATCACATGATTAATGTTCGTTATAGTGTTCTTAATCTTATCATTACATTTATTGTTATCACTCTCATTAATATTACGAACAATTTCACCATTATCATGTTTATGGTGAAATTGTTTGCTGATGATGACCATTTTTGATGGCTTGAAGGTTCGTTTCAAAGTTTTAAGTACTGAACTTCTTCAAATTTTACTGATATTCATCACGTTCCTTATCAGATTTTCGGTAATCACTTATGGGTTCTCATGTTACTCATCATTCAGTAGTGGTCTTCATGCGAAAAGCTTTGAGATTTCATACTGTTGTTAAGCTATTTTTCAAATGCTAATATGTGTTCTAATCTATCTTACAATCTTGATTAATGCAGTTCTTTTGATCAAACAATGTGTTCAATGATGATTTTAGTTGGAAAGGATGATCGAGCCAACTGTGGAGACGATCGCAGAAGAGGAACAACATAAAGAAGAAATACCAATGCATACATTGACTGAAAATCATTCACGAGTACATTTCAGTGAAGAAGAGGTGAGTGCGATTCGAAACACAGTCATATCTCTCATGGATTGATAAATACATGACTGAATCAAGTTTTATCATTTAATTTTGTTCACAATGGTCGATTACACTAAAACAATCGAGTTTCTAGTGTCAGGTTACTCGTTGAATTTACTGAATTCGAATTGAAAGAATCAGAGACAGTTGATTGCTTCACTGGAATTCCGTTTAAAAAAATTTTTTTTCTAGCCAGAGCAAAGGAATGAAAATAATGGTGGTGTCAAAGTGCATCGAAGCCTTAATAATAATGGCAAATGTCCGAGTGTGCGAAGTTTCAATGTTCGAAAAATGCACACGGCTGTAAGATTGAATGAGTTGATGAGACAGCGCAGTGCGGATGCGCAACTTCTCATCATTAACCTACCCGGTCCACCGCCACGAGGCACTGGACAATATTGTTAGTTTTTTTTTGGTGATACTGAAATCTGAAATTCACTGAGAAAACATTTTTAAATTCAAAGAACTATTGATTCGTTGATTTCTTTATGGATTTGTAGTGTTTCATACTTATTGTGGGAGGTAGATTCGGATATTCAATGATTCATTATGTTTTACTACGAAATGACAATGCCATAGTGACGATTGAGCTTAATTGGTAATTGAGATTAAGTAATGTTTACAGTATTGACATGCTTATGAACAGTTCATATGCTCAAAGGAGTTTATCTTTAGTATTTGGAAAGTGAAGGAATAATGTTCTGTATCGTTTAGATATGGAATTTATGGATGCTTTAACTGAAGGTCTACAAAGGGTACTGCTTGTACGTGGTACAGGCACTGAGGTGGTAACGATCTATTCATAATCGACGATCAGTGATATTATTTTATTGCATTATCATAACATCATCATTGTTTTGTTTGCATCAGATGCCAAATACACATCAGTCATAATCAAGATGCACTACTTTAGCTGTTTCATTACCAACAGATGAAGATCAGTTCCTATGTGAAGATCGCATTTACTAGTGATAGTGCTTTTCATTAGCACTTTTCGAAATTGGTCCTCTGCGATGCTGTTGCATACTTGTTTCTACTGAAATCGTTTATACCGATTCATAAGTTAAGAAATTTTTGAGGAAAATGATTAGTTTCATTATTCAATACATAAACAGACGACTGTTCATGGAAACAACGCTAAGGCGTTTTCAGTGATACGTTTGCAAAACTTATTTTGACGAAACTTGATAATATGAATTATCTTCAATGCGAAAGTCATGGTTTCCTAATGGCTTATGTGTCTTTGAATGCTTCTGATCCCTTCTTTAAAACCCTTAATTAGACTTTAATGTACCTTCGCATCGCCGTTATTTCTTCAAGTAGTGACTCCCATCAGTTATCCCTAATTCAGTGGCTCAGAAAATGTGAGTGTTTGCATTGGTTCGTTGATGTCGTCGTACTCTTATCAAAAAATCAACTGCTCTTCAATTTTGCTTGCGAAATTTATTAGGAATATCAAAGATGCGTTGTGATTCGATTTCACATCTCGGAATTGATGTTTTGCTAAATGCCAGGCAACTCTCTTTCTTGTCATCATAATTGTGGTTTGAGCATTGGATAACAATGAATTTGAATAATACCTTTTGTCAGATGAACTGAAAAGAGTGCTTTTGGAGTTCAGCGATGCGAGGTACACATTGCGATCAATGCGAAATTCACAGAGAATATTCCATGATTTTTTTGAAGTACATTATTGCAGAAATTTTGATATTGTTGACTATTGTTCATTTACTGACGGAACACTCTAACTGATGCAGTTTTACATTGCGTTATTGTAGCGTTTTGAACCTAACTCTGTAATGAGAGTAGATATGATTCAACTCAAAAAATCGCCATCTATGATCTCATTTGGGAGGGCGTCGATTCCGGTGGTGTAGAATAAAGATACAAAATCGGTCAATGAATGGTCTTTTCAAGAAGCCCGTAATCGCTTTGCCGAATCATGATTTAGAATCATGATACCTGGAGTTGTAGGTGATTCGCATTTGCCGACGCTTTCCAAATGAAATTTGGATTGACGAGATGTCAAGTGAACATAGTATCGAGGTGATTATTTTTTGAATGCATCGTTGAGTGTTCATGTTGTGTAAGATTATGTGCTCACAAATGTCCAGATATTATTTACATTCGGCATTTTTTCGGTCAGCATATTGAATCACAATTTATTCGATGAATTTGAAAATTTTGAAGCGATGAAAATTAGCTATTGTGGCAATCTCATAATTTGTTACTCAATAGCGATGTAAATAATATCTTTGTAAATTGTTGTGAATCAAATCGTTTTAGAGCGTTCAAACATTAATATAACTTGTTTTGTTTACGTATTATTGAATGTTTTTATTTACCATTAGATGATCTGAATATTATCAAATGTGAACGAGAATTCCGTCATCGTGTTGTAATTTCCAAAAAAAAACAAAACGAAGTTTGCACATTAATAGAACATCACTTTGTTTAGTTATTAATTGATTGTTTATAATATGAATCAAGATTATGAAAGTGATCTAAGTTGTAATAAATTGTAATAATCTACAATTATGTGATTCTCGACAAATTTTCGTTATAATCTCTACCATGCATGTATCCTTTTACTGAATCTACCCGGTTTGCACCTTTCCTGCTGGCCTCTCCTCCTCATAAGTTTCATGACATGAAGGTCAGCGATGAGGTGAAGGTGATCCTCCTCTACCCAAACTGTTGTGCGGTCAACAGAAATTTAGTGAATGTGATCTGATTGGGTTGAATATATTAGCAGATACTGGCTGATATGGTTTTGCATTTGACAAGCAGTTTATTCTTCATATATCAAAAATTGCAAATGTAAATAATGAGTATTGATAAAAGTCACATTCAAAGAGTCAATAATGAACTTTGTTGTGATGTATGTTACTGTGTGCATTTAAGATTGATTACCGTATGTTCATAACGATTTGTGTAAGTAACAAATAGAAGTTGGTGTCAAAGAGATAATCGATTAAATGTGTTCTGTACTTGCAATTTCTCGTTTCTTCTCACAACACATTCTGAGCCAAACTTAGGTCAAACGTAACTTTGAAACTCGCTCAATATGTGATCTATTGCTGGCCAGACTTTCGGCGATCCACTTTGAGCAGGATTGTCTTTGCTGATTAGTGATGTTTCTTTTCCACACTTTTGATAAACTGTTCTTTCCTATTCTGTTCCGCCCTTCTGCAGCTCTGTTCTATTCCATTCTGATCGACCATTTCCTGGGCCTCTTCTGTTCTATTGCATGGAATAGAGCAGGAATTGAACATTTTAACTGGAATAGAAACATCGGTGATACTGAAAAGGCAACTTATTTGTAAGGAACTTGATAACACGCAGTGCACTAGGTCGCCAATTCACAGTCATGTTAAAAATTTTGATTTTTGCTGCCCGTTGACCGGATCATTCGAGTGTGTTGTTATGGCTGGCGGCTATCCGCTTGGTAAACAATATCATTTTGCTGGTTCACTGGATGTAAGGTTCCGGTGTACGTGTATAGAGGTCTCAGTGTAGTTTCGTCATCGATGTATGCACTGCAACAATGCTGCAATGAATATCAAATGTTCATTGTGGGGGACACAGTTTCATTCTGTACGTCTGGAAAGCGGGAATTGCCTTCATTGGAAACTGTCACCAACACCAATGGAAACCTTTAGCAGATTATCGTTAGTGATATTACTGCTCCAACATCAAAACACTGGTGCTTGCTAACGCAGCTATTCGTAGGCACATCATACCAGATACAGTCTCGGATTCGTGTCACATGGAAGTGACGCTTATACGGTTAGATAGTAATGAAATGTTGAAAGTCGTGCTTAGATTTGAATCATGTTGAGATTGATCGCTATTTCTGTGATGTGAGCATTATTTAGTCATCTGTTGAATCGTTATCGCTGAATTCATTACACATTCAATGTTACACAAAACAAAATGATATCACCATTATTGTTCAACAAATAATTTATACGTCATACGGCAAGCAATGAAATAATGCAAAATATTCAAATCGTGAATTTCTATGCTGAATTGAGTTGGCAGTGATAATTCAGTACCGTAAGTAATTCATTCCATAAAACTGACAGAAAGAGATCAGAAATCATGTAAGCTGCCTACGATTTCCATTCTGTGCATTATACATTTTTATCAACCACAAATCAGCTTCACACCCTTCATGTCAAGGCCAGATAGCAGAACCGACCCATATCTCTGTGGCAGTGATTTTAAGTCTCTCGGCAAGCAATGAAATAATGCAAATTGATACATTCGGTTTCATACATACATTCAAGATCAGTAACATATCAATTTTTGTATGGGCTTGATACATTCAAGCCCACCGTCTTCTCAAGTTTGCCCGGAAACATGTTGTACGAACATCATTGTATTTCCGGGCAAACGTGAGAAGACGGCAGGCTTGAATGTATCAAACCCGTATTTCAATTGTAATATATAGCATGCATTGATCTATAGTGATCAAATGCATATCAATGAGCACCTCAGC